CGCGGTGCTCGGCGCTGTACGTGCGCCTGGCCGGACTCCCCCAGCCGCCGCCCTTCCGTTGCCGGGGCCCGGGCTTTGGCTGCGGTGTCTTCCCCGTCGCGGTGTGGGTTTCACTGCGCGGGGCGAAGAGGCGTTAAAAGTGCGCGGAGTCGGTGACAGAAAGGGTGTAAATCCGTCCTTGTGTCGCTCCAGCGTGGCGGGAAGGGGAGGAACTGGGAGGGCAGGTGCTTGGCTGGCTTTTATTTCAGGAACAAATGAAGATGGTGTGTATGCTTGCTGGTAGCGTGGATGGAAAGATAATTTGCTGTGCTATAGTCAGCTCTGTAACCGGAATTTGGTTTTATTTTTTTTAAATTATAACCTAACTCATAGTGTTTCACAGGCAGTTGCTCAGATGAGGCTTAAATCAAGGGGTAAACAAAATTTCATGCAATCATTGAGGCAACTGATATCATCTAGATACAAATTCTACAAAGCAGAGACACTACAAAGGGTCTTTCTTATTTCCTGTAGATATCACATTGCTTGATCAGAAGAACATTTTTTGGATATTCCCTAACTAAGGCAGGTTCTGGCCTGGTCCAGCAGACTAAAGGTAAGAAAAGATTTGTCTGGGTTTCTGCCCTGTTTCAATCTTATACCAAAGGTGACATTTCCTGCAGGAATTTGGCATCTCCTCTCCTGTACAAATCCTATTCCTCATCCTGTTTTTATCTAGATGTTGGTTTGAGGTTCTGTAGGCCACGAAGTTCTACAACAGCTGCTGACGCATCTGGAGAGGACGTCTTACTCAAATGGGGCCTTTTCCTGGTCCCTCTGACCACGTTCTCTCTTGGCACATGGCAGGTACACATAAATACTTCATTTTTTCAAGAGTTGAGCACTTCAAGGCTGTCAGTTTTTTCCATCTCTGGCTGTTTAGTCTAGTTCAAATCACATGCAGGGTAAAGATTTACTGTTATTTACGTTTCTGTTTTCCAAGTTTCCATTTTTAAGTCTTTAAAGGAGAGATTCTAATTTTTCACACTTTTATTTCAGTATAAATATTTCCTCAAATTAAAGTCATTAGCCTCCATTTTCATATTTCCAATTACCGTGTTTTAGGCCAGGTCATAAGGAGAAACTTATGGCAAAGGCTTTCTGGGTTATTATATTGCTCTGTTCTACCATAAGAAATTACTTTTGTGTTTGTGTACTTTCAGGTTCAGCGACGAAAGTGGAAATTAGATTTGATTGCGCAACTGGCATCAAGAATTACAGCAGAGCCCATCCCTCTGACATTAGAGTACGGAAGCTGAGATGATAGTTTATTGTCTACAGAGCACTGACAGTGCTGGGGATATTAGATATGGTCCCTGCACTAATGAGCTTATGCTAAACTAAACTGCATGAAAATGAAGGAACGCAATGGGAATCAGGACATGCAAGCAAATTAGAAAGATAGACATCCTGTTATTTTTCTTATTTTTAGTAAAAGAATAAGTGAGCATTTCCCTATGGGATACTCTAAATGCACATAAAAAGGATGAATCTCTGTTCAGGAGAATGTGATGTCCCAAAGGGATTATTCCTGCAACAGGGAATCTTGGATCAATAGCAGGCCCTGCCCCAAGTGTGGAGCAGTTGTGCCCAGTATGAGAGAGATTTTTAAGGTCACTTGGCCGTATGGCACAACTGTCAAAACAGTGTAGTTGTTCAATTTCATGGTCTGGGATGAGAAAAAACTGCTCCCTGTTGGCTGGATGTAAGTACAGCATATCCACCTGCTGATCAGCTCTGTGTGCCATTGAAGTGGCACTGGGTTACAGATACCAGGGAAAAGAACTGCTCTCTGGATACTTACGATCATCTTGATTTGATTCACTGTGATAGTAATAAAAGATTAAGCCATCCCCTTACTCCGTGAGGTGTTTGTCTTCTGGTTCTGTTTGCCAGCTGGCCCTAGAGTGGACCGTTAGGGAAAAGGAGAACCCTACAATAAAATCCCTTAACTTGATTTGCCTATTGCAGCTATGATTTTGTTTTCATCTTGTTCTATGCAGTCCCATGGAATTGAAGGAATTGGAGTACAGACCAGTAAAAGTCAGAGGGCATTTTGACCACTCCAAGGAGCTCTATATTTTGCCACGGTCACTTGTGGACCCTGAGCGAGAAGCCAGAGAAGCTGGGCAGCTGACATCCCACCCGGAAAATGGAGCAAACGTCATTACTCCTTTCTACTGCACAGAGCTAGGGTAAGTTAATGAAAGACATCGTTTTCATGAGCAACTCACTTCTGTTTTGAAAAGCTGAGTCATGGTGGTTGGGTTTACATAAATCTCTCCCTCTCCCTTAAAAGGCATTTCTCACAGTCTGTTAGGTCACTGAGGCTTGATTTGAAATTGTATTTAAATTCCCTTATAATGCACACTCAGATGACAAGAAAGTGGCACCAAACATAGAGCTTGCTTCTTTCATTGGTACTTAGTTCCAGGCAGAAAAAATTTCTTTTCACTCATGAGCCGTACTTCTTTATGTAACTCTAGGGTCACGATTTTAGTCAACCGAGGATTTGTGCCCAAAAAGAAATTGAAACCGGAGACCAGGCTGAAGGGACAGGTAAGGGGGATACAGGGAACATTGCGTATTACTTTCTGCCCCTTGGTTACCCAGAGGCAATACTGACAAACCAAGAAAGGCGGTAGCCATGTTCAGCATCATGGGAGGTTACTTAATCATTGCACTTTTCAAAGGCGGCAAACCTTTTCTTCCGTTCTCTTTGTTAAGTAAATGATGTTTTTTAATAAACAAGGAGCTGTTCTTGATCTGTTTTTTTTCCCTGCTGTGTTAAAGCACTGCCCCACTGCAGGGCACGACCACTTGATTTATCATCAGACCCTGCAAGGGCACTGTTTTTCTACCAGGACCTGGTATGCCAGAATATGAAACAAACCTTGAAAGATTAAATTTTTCTCCTCTGCACTTCTCTTCAGATTGAAGATGAAATTGATCTCACTGGGGTGGTGAGGTTATCAGAAACCCGGAAACCTTTTGTGCCTGAAAATAACATTGAGAAAAACCGCTGGCACTACCGTGACCTGGAGGCTATGGCAAAGGTGTCCGGCGCTGAGCCCATCTTTATTGATGCAGATTTCAGTAAGTCACAGGGGAACCCAACCCCACATCCAGTTTACATCAGCCTCTCTCCCTTTCTGTTCAGTTATTTCCCCTGGGCACTTGGAAAGGTAGACTCATAGAATCTTTTAGGTTGGAAAAGACCTTTAAGATCATCAACTCCAACAGGGTATTGCATCTTTTTCTTCTCTTCGTGTACTCTGCTAGGTCTACTATTTTGAAGGTGATAGGCAGACAACGCTGGGGAACAGTAGCGTGCTCGAAGAGGTGCAGTGCAGGTGGTGGCTGATGCCTTGAGCACAACCAGGCACTTCCTATAGGGCTGCCTGCCCCACAGCCCTGGCTTTGCTAGTAACCTGGCAATGCCATTGCCTGAGGAAGAGCAGGGTATCCCCACGACTGAGCACCTTCATCCCCTTTCTCACAGTAACGGCAGCTCTGCACGGTGCAGCCTAAAGCTTTACCTTGTGCGCTGTGTTGTGCCTATAGGAAGCACAGTCCCAGGGGGACCCATCGGAGGCCAGACAAGAGTGAGCTTGAGAAATGAGCACATGCAGTACATCATCACCTGGTGAGTTACCCAGCCGGCTTTTGACCGACCTTCCCCATGTTTCCTTCAAATGTAAAGCCTTGCCTGGCATTCTTGCTCCTTCTTCAGTGAGACTGGATGAGCTCTTAGGCTACAAAAGCCTAAAGCTTTAACCCAAGTAACATTTGCACAGCAATTCCCAGTAACTGTGTTTTATTGCACCGCAGCTGACTTAGGGAGGTGGAGTCCATCTTGAAAAGAAGGTGTAAATATGTGGTTTTGTTTTCTTTCATAGGTATGGCTTATGTGCTGCAACTTCATTCTTGTGGTACAGAAAATTTATACAAAAGATACCTCTGTAAGGGCAAGGGCTATTCAGCCTGATCAGTCCTGAATAACTGAAGCACCCAGAGTCTCAGAGCAACAGGTTCAGTAAGCTTGTGCAGCTATCAAACTGCAAATAAGACTTTAAGCAACTGGTGCAGACTCTGAGCTCTTACCAGTGCAATTCTGGCTGCAGCCTGGAAGCACTGAACTTCAAAATTTTAAGTGGCTGTTGAATCTACTGCATAAATCAGCTTCACTAGAAATCTCAAGGATACATTTTTCTATTGTGGTTGGTTGTAAGCTACAAAGTTTCAACTTCTCCACTGCTGTATTTTCCAAAAGACGGCAAGGGATTTTGTAAATCAGTTTCTTTGTACCAAGTAGTCATTCCTGAAGTCAGGAGTGGTTCACAGCAGTTGCAACAGAATAAATAAAGGCCTACAGGTCCTTGCCTTGTGATTTCCATCGTGCATCTTGCATCTTAACAGTGACAGACCTGAATTAAAGGTTACTGTGGATACTCATGCCTAGCTGGGTAAGGCAACCTGTGGCTTGCTTTGCAAGAGCATGTTGAGGGCTACCAAAACCAACAAGCAGCTACCTCAGCTGGAGCCTTACCAAGCTTGATAGCCTCCCACAATGCCACAAGACCAAGTCAGCAGTCAAGAAAGATCTGGATTCTTCTGCCACCACTTCAGCCTGCCTTCACTGACCATTCTTGCCCTGGAAGAGGCATTACAGACCTCCTCGTAGAAGGTCCCCAGTCTGGTGAAGTGTTGTAACACCCTATAAAACCCATACTGTAACAGACTAGTCTAAATAGTAATGGAGATGATCTAGAGCCATTTCCAATTGAGAGATATTTGCATAAGCAAGCTAGGCTTAAAGCCAGAACAAGCCTAGCCCATTCAATTTTATGATCACAGGGCATGTGCAGCTGAGCTGCCATTGATGGGCAGTATGTTCAGAGAGGAATTAGGACACAGGCCTAGTAGCTGAGGGCAGTTGTTCAAGTAAAGTAGTAGCCTGCTGTATGCAGCTGTTTCTGTGCAGCACTATTCAATCATTTGATGGAAGGCAATGCTAATGTGCTACCCACCGCCTGGAACACTCCCATTAACAGAGACTACTGAAACTTAATCTGGGAGTTTATTCTTTTTATGTACAGAAAACATGGTAGCAATCCAGTATGTCTTCAGCCCAGCTTAGTAGCCAGTTCTTTAGCCTTTGCTTTTTCAAGCTTGGCAATGCGAGCCACTGATTTTGGACCCAAGACGTTACCACCCCAGTGACGACGGATCTGCAAAGAAGCGAAAATGAGTTAGATGCCTCTTACAATCTCTTACTACATCATTCAATCAACTTGCTCAATTCCACTCCTTTCTGCACAAGGTGAAGAGCTCCCTCAACTAGAAGTCCTACACATTTAAAGCAGTGAACTATGTTTTGGGGCAGGGCAGAGATACAAGAGTTGAAAAAATCTTTCCCCATGAACGGTGCTGGATTCAGCCTTCACGTAACTTCTGGACTTGGGAGATGGAGTTGAGCCCCCCAGAAGCTGTTGCCCTCTCTACAATCCTAGCCCTGTGATAGCTCCATTTACTTGTAACTCAGTGACTGTGTTCACATTTTACCCCACCCTCAGGTAAAGAATGTGGGTATATCATAAGCAAATTAGGTACAACACACCTAACAGGCTTTAAGCTGATGTCACTATGTCTGAAATAATCTGCATTTCACGGGGAAGCTTTTGGGGATGTTAACAGTATAAACTAAAAGACAAGGCTAGCAGCACAGAGAATCTTACCTCATCATATCTGTCATTGTAGTTGGTCTTGACAGCCTCCACCAGCTTTGCAAGAGCTCCCTTATCCTCCCTGTTGGTGACAGTTTTAGTTCCTTTAGAGCCTCAATTTAACATTTTCCATACATCTTTTGCCTCAGGATTTAAGAGCTCATAGCAGCAACACGGTTTTTCAGGTTAAGCATAAGCATCATTTGCAAAGGGTTAATCACTCCAACCAGCAGTAATTTAGGAACCTGCACTGTTCAGATTAAGGTTAGTAGTTCCATCTATGGATTTTAGAGTAACTATCCATTTTGGTAAGCAAAGTAATCTGTATCTTCAGGATCTGATAGAGCTCTTCATACAAAAGGACATCCATATTAGACATTATAGAAGTAGTATTTTAGTTTTCCTACTTTGAACTAGAGACACCCAAGCTTAATATCCACCTGCCCTATAGTCTGTGCTTATGGGCACCTTGCTTTCTTCAGTACAGAGAATCAAGTCAGCACACAGAATACTTACGGGTTAACTTGGGTGAAAGCAACAGAGGTACAAGTTTTCCTGTGGACCAGTCGCCCCAGTCTGGCTTTGCCCTTGATGATGCAGTACGGCACTCCCATCTTGCGGCACAGAGCTGGCAAAAACACCACCAGCTGAAAAGAAAAGGGAGTGTGCTGTGTAACTGAGGGACAACATATTTTTATTCTTTGAATTGGCCTGGGCTGTGGCAATTGCTCAGTGTTAAAAAGCTCGTTTTGCTCTTCATTGCTGATTCCGGTGAAGAAATTCATACATCATTGCAAAGGCCAAGCCTCACTGTAACACCAGGACAACTATGAACATGCATAAGCATTCCAGTTCTGGTAAATATGTCTTTTTATGCACTCCTTTTTCACGCAATAAATTTGTCCTAAAAATGCATTTTCATCCCAAATCCAGTTCTGACCTCAGCTTAAGTTTCACAGGTAGCCTGTAACATGTACCAGCGAGTATGCTTACCTCAATGGGGTCTACATCGTGGGCAATAACTACAAGCTGAGCTTTCTTGTTCTCTACCAGAGTTGTGACACTGTTAATACCTGAAAAACAAGTTATAGATAAGCTTTGATTCCAGTCTATTTTCAGAGCTTTCATATAAGCCTCATACAACCAGCTCAGATTCCATAGTGCAGCTTTATTATGAAAGTAATGAAAACTTTTCCCATCCGCTCAGTAACACAGAGAAGATATTCCATGGACAATTTGCTAAAGCTCAGGGTTAAAAAGCTCGTCTATTTTGCTCTTCACTTTGAGGTCAGGTGAAGAAATTCAAACATCATTGCAATAGCTTGTCCAATCCTGTTTGGTTGAAGCAGAGTGCCAAATCTTCTCATCAGTTTTCTCTCTAACAAAGGGCCACACTCCTATATATGCAAGCAGCCAAGTCCACGTACAAAGTTACCTGCTCGGAGGACCGGTGGCCGCTTAGTTGGAGCATCTCCCTTTCCTGCAGCTTTCTGCTCAGCACGAGCCAGCAGCCTCTGCTTCTTCTCTTGCTTATTTTCTGGCCTATATTTGTGCGCCAGCTTCAGAAGCTGCGTAGCTGAAAGAGAAAGTGTAGTTAGTCGCACAACCTGAAAATCTAAGCATTACTTTTAAAAATCACTGAAGTGCATCAGCGATCTTGGTGGTTGTCATCAAGTGTATTTAGACAGCAAAAAGCATCATTTGCACAATGCCTCTGGAGCCCATATTTACCTCTACATCCTCCTCTGTTGGCAATGAGAGCTTCCTCACTGTTTGGATGAGGAAACGCCTGTGGACCCCCACAGCTATTACAGTTAAAGGTGGTGTACTTTCTCCTTTAAAGGAAGCAACTCGTTTGGCAACATCTACAAGGGAGTTACTCTACATAGGTTGAAAGTTTCTTGCATAGACACTGTCACCTGGAAAAGACTATTTACTCGTTCACAGAAGGCCCTGAAGTTCATTCTTCCCCCATTTCAATGTCAGCCTGCAGGATGCTGGTTTTCCCCCCAAAGCCTGCACTCATACAAATTTCTCAAACTATCTGTTTACACAGTTAAAAGAACCCTAGGTGGTTCTACATCAAGCTGAAACAACAGACTCCGATGGAAACGTGCAAGCAAGATAACCCTGGGTTTGGATCATTAAGTAGCTTTGATATTTTCAATACCCCTTTTCAAGGTACACAGCAGCTATCAAGACTTCAGCTAGCAAATTCAGACAGCAGCTGGCTGTTGACATCACTCCAGTCACTATGAAAGCCTCCCTAAAATGCTTCCAAAGAGACTCTCCAGATTACCTTTGTTACGTCATATTTTGGTTTCCTTCCTCTTCTCTGACATATATCCCATTAACAACCCAAGTCAAGAGAAATTTGTGGGACACATCCTTACCTGTCTGGCGGTCCAAAGCCTGCGTGAACTGGTTAATGGCAGGAGGCACCTTCAAGCGTTTGTAAAGAATGGATCTCTGGCGCTGCAGTCTGATGTAGCGTGGCCATTTCACAAAACGTGTGAGATCACGCTTCGGCTGGATATCCTGTCCTAAAAATACAGACTTTAACTCAAAGCTGTTCCAAACCCACAGAGCAACAGCATGGAGTAGGCAGAAGTGCATCAGTGATCTTGGTGGTGATATGTCAGCACTATCACTCAGATAGCAAATATTCTTTCACATCATCTGCACACCATACAAAAATGGCACTACAAAAGTCTGAATTGATTTACCACACCACGTGCAAAAGAACAAGATTCATCACAATAGAATCATATAATGGATCTATGTAATACGGGAAATTCAGCAAATTGTCTATAGCCACCTTCATATACCTAATGAAGGACTGCTCTTAACTGCAGGCAGCAAGGCAACTGCCTTCATCACTCTCTCCGCTCTACAGCCTTATTACAATACACTTCTGTTTATGATTTGTCATCTGTCTGTAAAACAAAAAATGCTTTGAGCAAGTAGCCCAAATACCCACTTACTCACCAATGCCAAAGTTCTTGGGCCTCTTCTCAAAGAGAGGATTGACAACTTTCTTGGCCTCCTGCTTCTTGACTACAGCAGGGGCTGGTGCCACCTTCTTGCCCTTGGCCTTCTTTCCTTTCGGCTAAAAGAAACAGACACATTCATCCTTCTTTTGCCTCCAATACTTGGAGCTCTTTTAATAGCTTTCAGTCCACCTTGAAAACGCATTTTTCCAAGCGTTTCACCAGCCTGGCAGCCTCCCAGCCTAGCCGTGCTCTT